GACCTGTTCCCGGTGAGGGTTGGACTCCGCCAGGGCTGCCCTTTGTCACCGGTTCTGTTCATAACTTTCTTGGACAGAATTTCTAGGCGCAGCCGAGGGGTGGAGGGTGTCAGGTTCGGTGACAGGAGGATCTCGTCCCTGCTATTTGCGGGTGATGTGGTCCTCCTAGCTCCATCTAACAGTGACCTCCAGCTCTCGCTGGGACGGTTCGCAGCCGAGTGTGAAGCGGCTGGGATGAGAATCAGCACCTCCAAGTCTGAGGCCATGGTCCTCAGCCGGAAAAGGGTGGATTGCCCACTCCAGGTCGGGGGGGAGGTCCTGCCTCAGGTGGAGGAGTTTAAGTATCTCGGGATTTTGTTCACGAGTGAGGGTAGGATGGAGCGGGAGATTGACAGGCGGATTGGGGCGGCGTCAGCAGTGATGTGGACGCTTAACCGGTCCGTTGTGGTGAAAAGGGAGCTTAGCCAGAAAGCGAAGCTCTCGATTTACTGGTCGATCTACGTTCCAACCCTCACCTATGGTCATGAGCTCTGGGTAGTGACCAAAAGAACGAGATCGCGAGTACAAGCAGCCGAAATGAGTTTCCTCCGCAGGGTGGCTCAGCCTTAGAGATAGGGTGAGGAGCTCGGATATCCGGGAGGGACTCGGAGTAGAGTCGCTGCTCCTCCACATCGAGAGGAGCCAGTTGAGGTGGTTCAGGCATCTGGTAAGGATGCCTCCCGGACGCCTCCCTTGGGAGGTATTTCAGGCATGTCCAACCGGGAGGAGACCTCGGGGCTGCCCCAGGACACGCTGGAGGGATTACATCGCCCGGCTGGCCTGGGAACGCCTCGGGGTTCCCTCGGAAGAGCTGACGGAGGTGGCTGGGGAGAGGACTGTCTGGGCTTCTTTGCTGAGGCTGCTGCCCCCGCGACCCAGACCTGGATAAGCGGAGGACGACGAGACGAGACGAGACATACATGATGTAATGTAAATACGCCGGAGTTAGCATGCATGCTAAATTTCATCCGCAGTCCCCAAACAATAAACATAAAAAAAATGGTCAGCACATTACAATACAAAAGACCAATGTAAAACAGTGTACATGTACAAACATGCATAAATACCTACAAGTTCATGTACACATACACACACATATAAATAACAACACACATACAAAAGACAAGCCAGATTAAGAATGCTCATAGGTTTGATTGTCTAGGATCCAATTTTTACGTTGCACGTTAAAAGACCCAAAAGATGGACACTCTGTTATCTTGACGGGTAACTTGTTCCAGTTTAAACTTCCCTGAACTGACAGAACATTCTGAGCGAAGGTTGATCGTCTAAACTGCACCTCACAGACCCCTCTAGTAGCAGCCCATGTCCCAATGCCCCTGTCAGGCTTTCTTTTTATGAATGAATTCTATCAGAGGTGGTGTGCATAGTCCATGTAGTACTTTGTAGATGACACATGCCAGTTTAAAAAGCTTAAAATTATCAAAACTAAAAAAATCATAGTTTTTTAAGATGTTGCAGTGATGGTGTGAGTGTGGGTTTTTTTTTTTTATCAAATACCTTTAATGCTCTCTTGTATAATTGTTCAATGGGTTTGAGTGTTGTCACACCTGTGAAAGACCAGTTTGTAAAGCAGTAGTTGATGTGAGATAAAATCATACAGTACAGGTACGTCCTAGCGGCACCAACTGTCAGAAAGGGTCTGATTTGTTTAAAATTTTGTAGATTAAAATTGATGGTGTTAGAGACCTTCTTGATATGAGATTTAAAAGTAAGGGTCGAGTCCAGTGTCTTGACCTCAACTATCATGTGAGTGTAGTCAAGAACTGGCGGTGCTGTCAGATATGGGTAAAATATGGATAAAATTAATTTTCACCCATTTATAAATTCTATTTTTTAAAAACAGTTCCCTGGGACCGTGCCATGCAGCTTGATACATATCAGCAACATAGCTGTAGTTCTTCTGATTTGCAAAGTAGGGTTCTAAATAGGGTTGTATAAAGCTATATCTACCCAATATATCTAATATCTAGTAAAGCTAGTACTAAGCTTGAAAAAGTTATTACACTGCACCTAGATGAGCTATGTTAAAAAAAAGTAAAGATGTAAGCTAATTTTCGATATTTTAGCTAATATGCTAGAAACGGCATTTTTAGGACGGTAGGTTTGTTTGCGGCTTGTAAAATAGGGTTGTAAAAAGATAGATCTACTGAATATATCTAATATCTAGTAAAGCCAAACTAGTAATGCCATTGCACCTAGATCAGGGTAGGCAACCTGTGGCTCCGGAGCCACATGTGGCTCTTTAGCCCCTGTCCAGTGGCTCCTTGAGCCTTTGAGAAAAGAAGTCTATGGAAATTCATTCTATGAATCCAAATGTTGCTGAACCTCGATAGCAGTGGCTGGTTAGCTATGGATGCCAAATCCAAAAAAGTAAATTGAATAAAATAGAGAATGTAGTAGTGCGTGGACAGATTTGTTTGCTTTCACTGCCAGCTCTGCAAAATTTAAGTACCAGATAATTATTAATAGTGCCCTGCACAGTGGCCACCTTGTGGTAAAACATATTAACAAATGCTTATTTAGACCATAAGTATACGCTAATTAGACTTAATAGGCTATTTACCTTGATTATAAGGCTCAAACATGTTTTGCGGCTCCACACAGATTTTTTCAAATTATTTTTGGTCAAAAATGGCTCTTTTAATGGCAAAGGTTGCAGACCCCTGACCTAGATGAATTACGTTAAGAAAAAAAGCAAGGATGTTGGCTAATTTTAGATATTTTAGATAGTACTCTAGAAACTGCGTTTTTGGGACGGTAGGTTTTTTGCGGCTTGTTGTAAAATAGAGTCGTAAAAAGATACATCTACTGAATATATCAAATGTCTAGTAAAGCCGAACTAGTAATGACACTGCACCTAGATGAAATATATTAAGAAAAAGTAATGATGATGTTAATTTCAGATAATTTAGCTAGTACTGTAGAAACAGCGTTTTTGGGACTGAATATTTGAATAAACCTATATCAAATATCTAGTACAGCCGAACTGTCATGTTATTATTATTATTATTATTGGTGGGAAATTATAACAGAGGAATATATTTGCCGTTTTAATATCAAGAACATTTTCGTGTTTTTTGTGTGTACACAGGACATTGTTGAATCAGGGAATCCGTGTGTCCACCACAATGGTTCCTAATTGACTTTACATTGGCACTGTTTCCGTGGTACCGGCACGTAATTTCAACCCATTTCGTGCTGCCACCACGGAATGCAATGTTAAGAGGTCGTGGTCATTTCATGTATTTCTGTGAGATCAGGCTGAACAGAGTCTGATCAGAGTCAGATCTAAGCGCAAGCAGAGGCTATTTGAGTGTGAGGGCAGGGTTTGAGGGACAATATTACAAAATCTGAACGTGAAATCAATAAATAATGCTCTCAAACTGATTTACCACTCTCTTGAATAAAGATAGGGATAAAGCCATAACTAGGCCACAAGCAGGTGAGAATGGAGCGCTGCTATGCGAAGTTCAAAAGTTCCTCCGTAGATGTCTTTATACAAGTACCTCGAGCCTCCTTTATTTATTTATTTTTTGCCTTTATTCACTGATGTAACGTTTTTGTCCCGATATTTTGTGTGATATCTTTGTATATTTCTTCAATACTAATAATAATAATAATAATAATGATAAAAAATAAAAAAAACTTGGCTTCCAGGTCACGCAATGTGCGAGAGATGAAAATATTGAAAGTGTATGAAAGGCTGGAATCCGGCCCGTTATCTGTTTTTTCCATTTTCCATTTAAACAAAAAATCGGAAATCGGAAAACGAGTCGTTATCTATTTTTTCATTTTGGTTCTGGAAACAAATATTGAAAAAACAAGTCATTATTTTTGTTTTTTCATATTTGGTTTTATTTTGAAAAACGAATGAACGAATGGTACACGGATTATGAAAGGCCCAAATCCGGCCGTTATCCGTTTTTTCCATTTTCCATTTAAACAGAAAATCAGAAATCGGAAAACGAGTCATTATCCGTTTTTTCATTTTGGTTTTGGAAACACATATTGAAAAAACAAGTCATTATTTTGTTTTTTCATATTTGGTTTTATTTTGAAAAACGAATGATACACGGATTGGCCTGGATTGACTATGAGTACGCCTATGACTCAATGCACCACACATGGATACTGGAGTGCCTGGCACTACACAAGAATAACAGCAAACTAATAACATTCATGGTTGGTGTACCTTCCGTTCATTCTATTTCCAATTCTGAAACGCAAATCGGAAAACAAAAAAACTGGCATTTTTAGTTTTCCAATATATGTAGCAGATTTTAAAACAAACAAACAAGAGCTGTTATCCATTAAAATATCGCCATAAAATTGGATTTTGTGTTGTTTTCCTATTATAGATTTTTATATTCCCAGATAAACACGAAGAATCCAATCTATGCTAATCCAAAATACAAAAATGTGGGGATATCTGTATTATTACAAGGTGAATCGGAAGCAGTATTTTAGCTTTAATGCAAAAAATGCGGTGAACCGGAAGCAGTATTTTAGCTTTTTTCCTGCGAGTACGTCTTAAACACAGCAGATTGGGTTGGCAGTAGTCTAAAGACGGATGAGATGGCGGCACTCGAGCCCTACGAAAATGTAATTAGAGAAATGATTACACAGAATTTCTCGTACGCCGACATTTCAACAAATTTGTCAGAACTAGGTGTGAAGGAAGGATGCTCAGCAATGAGTGTCAGGAGATTTTGTGCACGCCACAACATTTCCAGGAGGGGACATGTATCCGACTCACAATTAGAGGCTGCTATCAGCAGGGCAATAAATCAGGTAGGTTTTTTTTGGTTTTCTTTGATTTACAGAGGTGGGTAGTTACGAGTTACATTTACTCAGTTACATTTACCTGATGAGGTTTTTGGATAAGTTGTACTTCTAAGATAGTTTTATATCATCTCCATACTTTTTACATTTACTTGAGTAGGTTTGTGAAGAAGACTGTACTCTTACTAGACTCCATTAGGCTACACTGAGCTGGTTACTTTCTTCTTTACCCATTAACTATCCTACGCATTATTATCCCCCCGTGCATCAAATTAATGTTGTATTTTGTCAGACAGAGGGACTTCCGCCATAGGCTCTACCACCTGACTGTGTTCCTCCAATCACATTTGGAAATGTGTGTTTCTTGTGCTGTAATTTGTTATTTTGTAAATATTTCATTTATTTTTATGTATTCTATTATTCTGTTGATTGGAAGTACTCAAATTTACCTAAAGATTATGATTTTGTATTTTTGTCTGATTAAATGCATGTTTTCACAAATTAATCGGATGTTACTCAACAGTTGCTCAGTACTTGAGTAGTTTTTTCGCCAAGTACTTTTTTACTCTAACTCGCAACACCTACTTGACTCACATTTTTCTGAAGTAACGATACTCTTACTTGAGTAGAATTTTTGGCTTCTCTACCCACCTCTGTTGATTTATTTCTAGACTCCATGAAGACTAGGTCAAATGTCACAGCTTACTTATGTAGATTCATCAGACAGGGTCAACATATGGTCGAAAGATGATGAGCGGGTACCTGTCTGCAATGGGAGTGGTTGCTGGTGAACGCCGGGTGGGGAAGATTTTGAGAACAACTCATTGTCCCTATCACGAAATGCGCAAACGAGTAAGTATCTTTTGCAAGCCTTTAATGTTGTGGTATATGGTGTCATGTATTTTACTAGCTAACTTTTACTTACTTTTCCCCCAAAGGGCGCACGTAACCTTAACCCCATCCCCTACACAGCTGCATACATGGGACACAAAATCCACATCGACCAGAACGAAAAACTGGTCATCTTCGGAGTGACACACATTCTAGCAGTAGACGGGTACAGCAGTAAGGTCGTTGCCCACACAACCATGCCTGTCAAGAATAACCTCAGGATATATGAAGAAGTTTACAGGTTAGTCCTTCTCAACTTTTTTTTGGCTTCAAAACCCCCTTTCTCTGATTTCAGAATCCAGGCAGGTGTAATTTTTTGTGAAAAAGTCCATGGAAAAGTTAGTCTTTATACATACATACTTTTTTTTCTTTATATTACTTTGTATGTAATATAAAGACTAACTTTTCTCACAACTTCACTTTTCTGTGAGTTTTTGTGACTTCCTTTGTGACATTTTTTCAATTCTTTTGACATTTTTTAAAACTGTTTTTTGTGACTTTTTAGATATGGATTCTACTGTTTTTTGGTCTTTTTTATTTGTGATAGGCATACTGACCCATTGTTTCTCAAATGGGGGTCTGTGTTCCCCAATGGGTACTCTGAGGTACAACGGGGGGTACATTTTGGATTGACCGAAAGCACTGTATTTTTCAGGATTCATTTTATTATTTAACAACGTGCTTTCCGTCAATCCAAAAACCTGAAAGTAAAAGTAAGGTTTTGGCTCTCTTGTCTGTGTGCATAATTATTAGGCAACTATAAGATTGTAGAGCTATTATGCAACTGAATGAAATACAAAAATGTTCCCATCTCACCTCAAGTGAGAATAATAAACAAACAACTCAAATTTCTGAAAGTAAAAAAATATATATCTGTGACCAGTATAGCCACCCTTCTTTTCAATAAATCACAAAAACAGTGCACTAGTAGATTGCAATATTGTTGATCTATCGTACAGTGCAGACTCAACATTTGATTGAGTCATGTTTCACTATTTTACAGATCAGCAGTTCTTGAATACGGGATGTGGGACCAGGTCAGGGTGGACCATGGCCGTGAATTTTACTTGTCCCTCTACATGCAGGAGATGCTGTCTAACCACAGACACAACTTGCAAAGGCAACCATATCGCCAAACTCAGTCAACAAAGGTGAGGTAACAGTCTCCTTAATGCCAAAAATGAGACTAAGCTTTAGAGATGTTACTCAGTTTTTTATGTACTGATACTGGACACCAAAATAACAAACTTTTGCTGCACTGATCCTCAATTCAAACACATGGGGCCAAAACCTCAAACCTTAATTAGCCATATAAACAAACGCCCACCTAAACAATGATTGCATTGTTTACATTCATGCTCCATCTAGAGAAACCGTTGCACAGGTAAACACAGGAGACTACGCGGGGAAGAGCAATAGAGCCAAATGGATGAGTGGTTTTGTGGCAATTCTCTACATGGAGTGTGAATGTACACCAATATCGCATTGTTTAGGTGGGCTGAAGTATCACTTTAACCAGATGCACCCTTGAGTGAGGGGTGCTTGTAGGTACCCATACACATCAATGGTCCTGCTTCTTGGACTCCTAATCAAACCTCTTCAATACTGTCTGTAAACTTTTTACATCTGATATAATCCTGTTTCCTCTCACCATGTTAATTTTGCAGACTAAATTGAGTCTATCCTTTTCTTGTCTACAGAATCATACGGTGGAGCGATTGTGGGTCGAGATAAATAACAGGGTAAATTACCCAGTGAAGGAGGCCCTCATACAGCTGCAGGATCAGGAAGTCCTCAACATGGATGACAACGTGACAAGATACTGTACATCTAACCTTACTGCTGAGCTGTGCAAGATTGGCATAACAAGAGCTGTACATGCATGGAATGCACACAGAATTCCTGGTGAGTTAAATAAAAAAAAACATGTATCACACAATTCAGTCCTTTTTTGTGAACTTTTAATTTAAATTTGGCATTGAATTTTAACAATGAAATTTTGTGACCTATGCTTTGCTTCACAGGCAAAGGAACACCCAATCGCCTTGCAGCAGGAGGATGTCCAAAGAAACTGGGAGAGGAGTTGTTGCCACATGCCTTCCGAGCAGCAGACATGTACGAGCAGGATGTTGGCTCTTCACTAACTGGAGTCTCCTGCTTTGGAACGGACCCCTTCTCAACTGAGGAGGACAAAGTATCAGCAGAACAACTTTTTGCTGAAGAATACCCTGATATTTCAGTTTTATTAGATAACGTGGTAAACTATAACTTCGTACCTTTTCAAGATGCATTGCTGTATCTGATAAACATTACGCAGCAATATGCATGAACATGTCAAATAAAGGCAAGTTGGTTCTGGATATACTGTATATTTTGTTACTTTCCCTTAACAAAATCAAACACTTGTTAAAATTGCTACAATAGCAGAGTTAAACATTACACAATATTGGTCTGAAGTGCAACATGAAATACAAAAAATGCATAAAAATAAAACTATTCTGTATCTACAGCTGTTGAACAAGTGCAAAATTCCAACTGGATTTAGAACAAGGCTATTAGCCAGCTGGAACAGAGGTAATCAAGCTTAAATCGTTGAATGTGATACAATCACACTTAAAGGATTAATCCATCTTAATTACACCAGCCAATGAGGAGAGAAGATGGTCAAGACTGGTCAGCCTGTGAGCATTGACAGAGAACTCATCTGCCCTGCATTTGAGGCACTGGTCAGATGTCAGCATCCACTGGTCAACGCAGTTTTTGCAGCCAACAAAGCTTTTGCAGCATACGGCAATCACAGGCTCTTCCATTAGCCCTGTTTGATGGAGAAAAAAAAGCACAACACATATGCAACATTACAGTTCAGTATATTATCTTGTCTTTACTTAAAGTAACAGTTCACCCAAAATGAACATTGTGTCATAATCTACTCACCCTCATGTCAGTTAAACCACAGGTGCAGTTTGTCCATATAACACACAAGGAGGTTGCAGCACTACTGGAGCGCAAGTGGGTCTCCATTGACTTCAACACAGTGCATATAAAGTCAATGGAGACCCACTTGCTACTTGTGTTTTAACTGACACGAAGGTGAATAGATGACAGAATTTTCATTTTTGGGTGAACTGTTCCTTTGATATACATATTACATATTTTTAAAACTTGGCAAGGGACAGTTTCATTACAACATGGAAAAGCAATAATTAACGTTTGATTCACTTGGACACTCCATTAGATCCTGCTTAAAAGGTAGACTTTAATATAGATCAAACAACAAAATATCTTACAGACCTTTGCATACAATACAACCAAAGGCATCCTTTATGTGTGTTATCATGGTGTTGGTCGGAAACAGCATGGCACCCCTGGTGTTGTTGGCATGTGTTGACAGGTCCTTCACGACTTGGGTGACCTCACTCAGTCCTTGAGCAGCCAAGATCACTTCCTTTATTTTATCATGGACCCCCTGAAGACCTGTGGAGTCCATGTCTTTATGACTACAGGGAGGGTTAAAAACAACAACAAATATTATACAATATTCACCAGTTCTGTTCAGATAACTTTTTTCCTAAGAGATGTTATTTAAAACAAAATAAAAGACAAATATTGACAGGTAGTAACTAAAATGTTTACCTCAGTTTCTTTCCCTTTGTTCCTTGCTGGAACTCATGGAAGATCTGCTCTGGGACAGCAAGAAACTTTTTTGCATTTTGCTTCCAATACTTGGATCCTAGCAAGAGAGGAAGACAACTCATGTAACAGATACAATGTAAACACATTTACAGCTGAACAGAATACTTTGTGGGTCAAAAAAAATTAAGAGACAAAGAGAGCACAGTATTGAAGTAGATGGGGCATGTAGTTTAACAAACAAAGCATATTTATTTATTATTATGCAACTATTCATTTTTTCAGTTAGTACCTCTTGTCCCTTCAGAGTCCACAATCTCATTTCCCTGGGCATCAGTCAGGATGAGAGGGCCATCACTCTGCAGGGCATCATGTATTTTTGCAAGGATACCTGTGGTTGTGGCTTCAAACTCAAACAGTCTGAGTACAACCATACGGGCAGGCTTCAGTTTCCCCTGGCTGAGCTCAGCAATGAAAACAGACCTAGAAAGATTGTTGTGGGAGTGGTTTGCATCAAGTCAAATCAATTAATTCCATCTCAAACACATAGCCTACATTACAACTGATGCAATTACAATCGATTCAAGTTTTAAAATAATCTTGGTTACAAAGGATCTTAAGAATTACAAAAACAAATACAATCATGTGGATTTATTCATATGTAGCTAGCCTTGGACCAAGACGTTCATGAAAGCAACCCCCCTTTTTAAATATTTAAATAATTTTAAATAATGTACATTTTGATATTTAAATAATTTAATATTTTTTTAATAATCTGACTAGCAAATAACTTGCTAATCAATGGTAGGGGGGCTCTGAACTGATGGGACTGGGGGTACCTTTGGAAGGTGTTACTCATGCTTGCTCGAGGGGTAGTGGGAGCAATGGCCTAAGCAGGTGATCCCAGAGCAGCAGTGGGCTGTGCTGGACGGTGGAACTGGAAACGGTTCTGGCCTGACAATGGAGGAGTCTGCTCGGCGACTGGTAGAGCAATATCATCCCCATGAACCTCATAGTGGCCTCAAGGTCTAAGGTCCAAGCAGCTGAAATGTCCAGACGATCCCGGGAATATCGCCACATTGTCATCATCGGTTATGTACAGGCTAGGAGCATATACCTTTGAAAGAAAACATTTAGGGACCTTAATCAGACGGCTATTCTGTGCTAGCTTCCTTTGATCTTAGCATGTTCTCCAAACGAACGAAAAAAGTGTTACTTACCTGGAAAATTCTGGCAATTTTATCTCCCATCATGTCGTCCTCCCTAAGCGTTAGCCTCTTGTTTCCTTTAAAAAGGATATAACTGGTTGAGTCCATTGCGAACGAGGAATTGTTGCTCGACACCAACTTGAAGTGAAAAACACCAGACTAGCACCGCGACCTTCCTGACACACGGACCAATCCGCGCGTAGGCTATATTTATTTATTTCCGGGCCATGGACTGAAAAGCATAAAAATTGAAAATTGAAATTCGAAAAAGAGAAATTTAAGGCATTTCAGCGAAAACTAAAATTTGAATAAGAAATGCAATAGTTTTTTTTTTAAAAAAAAAGGGTCATTAAATAGTTGTCCGATTTTTGTTTCACAAATGGTAATAGAAAAAATGGCCCTAAATTTGTTTTTTGATTTGCCTTTCAGAATTGGAAATAGAATGAACGGAAGGTACATGGACCATTCATCAAGAGCTCCACGTGGCTGTGGAAAATAACACTGGAAGCTAACTCAAAGGCCATCACACGAGTCACCATCAACTGCGGCATATACCAAGATCATGCACTGTCCCCACAGCTGTCCTGCATAGGCCTGAATACCCTCAGTCAGATCATCTCCAAGAGTGGCTATGGATACAGATTCAAAAGTGGAGCAACCATCAGCCACCTCCAGTACATTGATGACATCAAGCTGTATGCCAGGAGTGAACGAGACATCGACTCACTGATCCACCTCACCTGGATCTACAGCAAGGATATCTGGATGTTATTTGGACTGGATACGTGTGGCAACACGGTGGCAAATAGAGGGAAGGTGAGAACTGAGGGGGTGCAACCACCAGAGGGCAGAAGAGCAGACATACAGGACAGCTACAAGTATCTAGGTATCTCACAGGCCAATGGGAGCTATGATGAGGTCGCAAGAAGGTCAGCCACAGCCAAATACCTTCAGAGGGTAAGACAGGTGCAAAGAAGCCAGCTCAGTGGAAAGAATATGACCAAAACCATCAACATGTACGCCCTGCAAGTCATCAGATACCCAGCTGGAATAGTACGCTGGCCACAGGAGGAGATGGATGCTGCTGATGTCAAAACACAACTACTCCTCACACTGCATGGAGGTTTTCACCCAGTGCAGCTCACTGCAGGCAGCGAAAAGAGAGAGAGCAAGGATTAGTGTGTGTCAGAGCCATGATTCAGGATAAAACAAGGAGCATTCAAGAATATATCAGGAAGATTATTATTATTTCAGTCACAATTGACAGCACACTTGTGCAGCTAACCTACAAGATAACCATTGTTTTGGTTTAATGTTAACTGGTGACTCTCAGAATCCTGTAGTGAGGGCAGATGTTGAAAACACGAAGAGAACATGTAAGCTGTCCTCGTAAAATCAATTAATATACTTCCACCAGTTTAAAATAAATACTCATCTGTGCTGAAAGTCAGTAGTAACGCAATCACTTGAAACATCGGCAACACACACAAGCCTCGACACATTTCTCCGTTAATTAGCAGATTTATACAGGGAAAGAAATTAAATTGCAACTCCAAAACATAACAGTCTTAATAGGTGACTTAAAGTTTCGATCCATATCAAATTCTTCAAAAACTTTCAGTGCCCTGTTCATTATATAGTGCAACATCACACTACTACATATAACTTAGCTCAACCATTATCTCGACAACAGACAATTTTCTTGACATAGGGTGCCTTTTCCCCTTTCTGTTGACATTCCTGCTGTGCACGTAAATAGCATGGGAAAATTACATTAAATTAAATTATTTTTAAATTAAATTGTGTTATTGAACAGTTAACAGTTTAAAGGTGAAAACAAAATATGTCTCCTTACCTTACCCAAACAGCTTACATAAGTATCATCGAGATGAGAAATGAGGCACTTGCCATCTGCACACTCTTTAATGTCTTGTGGCTAGATGATAGCCTGCTGCAATCAAAAAGGCGGGCTCAGACAGGAAGTGTGTTTCAATTAGAAAACTACATAATAGCATTTGTATGGATTCACTCAATATTCTATTTAAAATTACATAAACAAAATGCCTGTGTTTTATTTAATTATAATAAATGGATTATATTCCAAACGTTTTCTTTGATATTTACTTAAATAATAACTACAAAACCAAGGGTAAAGTTATATTGAATAGATTTTAACTAATGCATTATTTAAAATGACCACAGTCATTTTTTACAGTGTAATTGTAAATGGCACTGACCAAGCGGTGATTTGTGACGAGTTGGGATGAGGTTGCGTTGTAAAATCATTCAATAGAAATTTAATACCTGTAGATAATGGGCTTTTCAGTGCTGTTTAGCATATAGTAAGGAACTGTACATAATTAAAGGAGGATCATTTAATTTTTTCTCATTGCATATTTTTTTATTTTGGCTCCTTTTTCCCTTGTCATGTTAAAATAAATGAAAAAAGATCAGCTAGTGACTTCAAAAAGATGGCCTCTTTGTGCCACCAGTCATAAATGTGCATGTGGTCATATGCAGAGGACAACAGTTCTGTCTTGATTTTTGTACTCATCACATTCAACTTGTTCTAAGCAGGACCAATGCATCAGCTTAGTCCAAAATCACATAGAAAGTGTTTATGCAGCTGTAGGCTGTAATTGTTTTTAATGTGAATGAAGCTTTTTGCTCATTGTTACAGTGTTGCTATGCTCTAGGCGTCTGCTCTGAACTCCTTGAGTTGAAAAAACTTTAACTCAGAGCAGAAAAGCGCCTCATGTCATCTCTGCTTTTTCCCCTTTGCCCAATGCGATGATTTGTGAGGTGGGATTTCTGTGGTGGTCATGACAACAACTTTAAATCCGAACTTCCAGGAAAGTTGAAGTTGTGGTGTTTGCAATTTGGGCTATATCCTAGGTTAATGTGGCCATTGTCAGTTTATGAAATTCCAATATCCGTAGTGGAGAGAATTGAAAGGTTAGTTAGCTCCTATATTAGGAAGTGGTTGGGTGCTCCTAGGTGCCTAAGTAGTGTTGCATTGTATGGAAAAGGGATACTTCAGCTGCCAGTATCTAGTTTAACAGAGGAATTTAAATGTACCAAGGTCAGCACAGAGCTGTTGTTATCTGGGAGTAAGGACGTGGTAGTTAGGAGTGTGGTTCCAAATCCAACTAAGGGGAGGAAGTGGAACCCAAGATCGGCAGTTCAGGAGGCAGAGGCAGCTCTTAGGCATGCAGAGATTGTAGGTAATGTTCAGTTTGGCCGGGGAGGCCTGGGGCTTGGCTCAGGCAAACCGGTATGGAATAAATCAGGTCTCAAAGATAAAAGAAAGCTGGTTGTAGAACAGATATGTAGACAGGAAGAGATGCTAAGGGGTGCAAAGGTAGTGGCCCAGGCTAAACAGGGACAGTGGTTGAATTGGGAAAGTGTAGAGAAGAGGAAGCTTAGTTGGAGGGACCTGTGGAGTATGGAGGAGAATTGTATTAGATTCCTGGTAGGGGCTACATA